CAAAAAAAAAAAAAAAAACACAAATAATGAAATAAATAAAGAAATAAAGAAATAAAAATAATTATATAAAAAAAAATGAAAATGGCCTTTACCGAGTTGAGATTCATGGGAGATTTACATTAACATAGATTTGAACAATAAGGTATATATTAACTCTTCCTTTTCTTTTATCTATTTTTTTTAGAAATCACAGCGAATTATAGTTAGATCTTCATTAAATTATTACAATGGTTTAGTTTTGAGTTAAAAACTAAATATAAATTATTTATACAAATTCTAGTAAATGGTCATATTAGTAATATGATATTAAATTTACATCTGTAGCAAATAAATAGATTAAAGATAAAATGATCGAGAAAATTTGTGAACAACTAGCTAAGGAAAGATTTGGAAACAGGGATCCACTCTAAATTTGGAATACATGACAACAAAATTAGAAGGCAACAGTAAATACAGATAAAAAAACAAGGAAGATTTGGTAATTAAAAAAACATAAAATAAATACAGAGAAAAAAAAGTAAATACAAGAGCAGGAAAGCACGAAATAACTTGAAATAACTCTATATTACTTTTTTTTTTATACCACACTAACCATGGAAAATAAGATTTGTAATAAAAATATAATTATAGATATATAACATTTCAAGATTTTTAAGAATGGACTCAAGTAGATTAGAGAAATAATTTTATAGAGTTTAAACTTGAAATTGATGTCATGGGCTCACGTAGGTTTACTGGATTTCAAAGGATATAATCGAACTTTCATTAAGGATATATTCGTGACAACAACTTAAGTTAACCAGGTAAGTGACATTACTATCGGCATGGTTATATTTGATGTTGACACGTGCTTGTGGTTCTGCACGTTTCATATATACTGATATGTGTGAATTATCTGTGAATCGATATGCTCATATTATGTTTATGTTATGCTATAATATGTGAATTGTATGATAATATTTACGGTGTGATGTGTTCAATGATATGTTTGAGATATGTTACGAGAATGATGCACTAAACGTAATGTAACGATAGAAGTAAGATGTATTCACGAAACATTAAGGTTAATTTAGATGTATTCACGAAACATTAAGGTTAATTTAGATGTATTCACGAAACATTAAGGTTAATTTACGCCTCGAAGTGCTATGGATATGAGAGATTGATAAAAGAATATGGTTAGGATATGAGTAGAAAGAGATGAGATTATGATAGATTGACAAAACGATAACGTTAGGCTACATTCATGTGACGGTATGACTATGATAGGTATAAAAATGTTAAGGCTATGATTAGTTAGGATGGATGACACTTTGTGAAATTCATCCTGCAACTGCAACAAACGATAACGTTAGGCTACATTCATGTGATGACACTTTCTTTTGATCCAATTTTTTTTTCTCTCTCCTTATCATTAAAGAAAGACAGAAAAATTTCACGGTAGAAACATTCTCGAGAATTTCTCTTAAGATTCAAACCCATAGCTGATGATAGAACTAGAATAGATATATTTTTTTTTTGTTTCCTACTCACACGTGCTCATATCTTTGTTTCTCGATCAATCTCCAATTCTAATCTTCTTCCCCAATCAGATATTATGGTGTCGATATAGACCGAAATTTTGTGTTAAGGATAGTTGACCGTTCATTATAAGGCAAATATCTAGATATTTGCCTTACATTACGGGTTACCATATTTGCCCTTTTATTAAAGGCAAATATATTGCATTCATTTATTATTCTTTCCTTTTATTACTATTTCCATATTATTTGTAATTTACCATATTTCTGTATCCTGTAAATGATTATAAATAAGAGAACTCTCACCCCATTTAGGTGTGGTGGATTCAGCAAACATTCACATGGTATCAGAGCCCTTTCGGTTTAATAACCCTGATCCTTTCTTCTCTATGGCTTCCGAATCTTCTTATCATCTTCTTCCTTTCAATACTCTAATCCATATGATCACCATCAAACTTTCTTCCTCCAATTATCTTCTTTGGAAAAGCCAACTTCTCCCTCTCATTGAGAGTCAAGACATGCTGGGCTATGTCGATGGAACTATGGTTCCACCACCTCGCTTTGAACCAGAAACCTCTTCAACACTCAACCCCAAATATTTGGCATGGAGAGCAGCCGATTAACGACTTCTCTGTCTCCTGCTCTCCTCTCTCAATGAAGAAGCCATGGCTGTTGTCATTGGTCTCTCTACTGCACGTGATGTTTGGCTTGCGTTGGAAACTACATTCAGGCATCAGTCGAAAGCTCGTGAACTGAGACTCAAGGATGACTTGCAGTTGATGAAACGTGGCACCAAACCTGTTGCTGAGTATGGCCGTGCCTTCAAAAAAATTTGTGACCAACTTCATGCCATTGACAGACCGGTCGAGAACATTGATAAAGTGCACTGGTTCCTTCGTGGACTCGACACCGAATTTTCACCTTTTTCTACTGCTTAGATGGCTCTCACCCCTATCCCCTGTTTTGCAGATTTAGTCTCTAAAGCTGAAAGTTTTGAGTTGTTCCAGCGCTCCCTTGAGTCCTCTGACTCCACTCCTACAGCATTCACAGTCACTAATCGTGGTCGCACCCATGGAAGCCACCCTACTTCCTTTACCAACCAGCGAGGTCGTTCTTATTCTCACAAAAACAATTCTTCTAATCGAGGACGAACCCACTCAAGTAAGGGTCATTGACCACCTCACTGCCAAATATGCCGCAAAGAGGGCCATTATGCTGACCGCTGCAACCAACGATATGTTCGACCTGATTCTTCTCATGCTCACCTTGCTGAAGCCTTTAACATGTCATGTTCTATTGCTGGACCCGATGCTGCTGATTGGTTTCTGGACACTGGAGCTTCGACCCATATGACTGCCGACCCATCTATTCTGGATCAGTCTAAAAATTACACGGGTAAGGACTCTATGATCGTAGGAAACGGTGCATCCCTACCCATTACCCATACCAGTACTCTTTCTCCTGTTCCAAATATTCACTTATTAGATGTCTTGGTTGCCCTTCACCTCACTAAAAATCTTCTTTCCATAAGTAAATTAACGTCTGATTTTCCTCTCTCCGTTACATTTACTAATAATCTTATTACTATCCAGAATCGTCAAACAGGAAGGGTGGTGACAACCGGTAAAAGAGATGGAGGGCTATATGTGCTGGAGTGCGACAACTCTGCTTTTATTTTAGCCCTTAGAAACAAATCTTTACGTGCTTCATATGATTTATGGCATGCTCGTCTAGGTCATGTGAATCATTCTGTTATTTCTTTTTTAAATAGAAAAGGTCATCTTTCTCTTATGTCTTTATTGCCTTCTCCATCATTATGTAATACTTGTCAACTTGCGAAAAGTCATCTATTGCCTTATTCCCGCAATGAACGTAGGTCGTCTCATGTGTTAGATCTTATTCATTGTGATCTTTGGGGTCCTTCTCCCGTCAAATCAAATTCAGGTTTTCTTTATTATGTTATTTTTATTGATGATTATTCTCGATTCACTTGGTTTTACCCTTTAAAATTTAAATCTGATTTTTTTGATATTTTTCTTCAATTTAAAAAATTTGTGGAAAATCAATATTCTTCTCGTATCAAGGTATTTCAAAGCGATGGTGGTACCGAATTTACTAGTACTTGTTTCAAAACTCATTTACGTAATTCTGGCATCCACCATCAACTCTCTTGTCCATATACACCTGCTTAAAATGGTCGTGCTGAGAGAAAACATCGTCATGTGACTGAGACTGGCTTGACCCTTCTCTTTCACTCTCATCTTTCTCCTCGTTTTTGGGTTGACGCCTTCAGCACTGCAGCTTATATTATCAACCGGTTGTCTACTCCACTTCTTGGAGGTAAGTCACCCTTTGAACTCCTTTATGGCTACACTCCACATTATGACAATTTTCATCCCTTTGGTTGTCGTGTTTATCCTTATTTGCGTGATTATATGCCTAACAAGCTTTCTCCCCGCAGCATTCCTTGTATTTTTTTGGGTTATAGTCCTACTCATAAAGGGTTTCGCTGTCTTGATCCCGCCACCATTAAGCTATATATCACCTGTCATGCTCAATTTGATGAAACTCACTTTCCTACTATCCCTACCTCCCAGACCCAACCTCTTTCCTCTATTCCTATTTCAAATTTCTTGGAACCACATCTTCATCATATTGATTCATCCCCCCTACCACTTCATCACCGCACACTCCTCGATTCAGTTCATCCCCATGTGATATTTGTTCTAACCTTGTAGATGAGTCTGTGCAGGTTGATACTTCTCTTGCAGGTTCCACTTTGCCACCCTCGACTTCTAATTCGACCTCTATTGAACCTCCTGTTGATTTCTCTTCTTTGGGCACTCGTCCTATGATCACACGAGCCAAAGCTGGTATATTCAAGACTCGTCATCCAGCAAATCTTGGTATTTTGGGCTCATTTGGACTTCTTTCTACTCTTCTTGCATCCAATGAGCCAAAAGGATTCAAATCTGCGGCTAAGAATCCTACTTGGGTGGCTGCCATGGATGAAGAAATTCGAGCGTTACAACAAAATGATACTTGGACTTTGGTTCCTCGCCCTACCAACACCAACATCGTGGGCTCTAAATGGGTGTTTCGTATTAAATATTTGCCTGATGGATCCGTCGAGCGTTTCAAGGCTCGTCTTGTTGCAAAAGGTTATACTCAGGTTCCTGGTCTTGACTACACTGACACTTTCAGTCCGGTTGTCAAAGCTACCACTGTCCGTGTTGTGCTTTCTATTGCAGTCACAAATAAATGGCCTCTTCGACAACTTGATGTCAAGAATGCTTTTCTCAATGAAACTCTTATTGAACGTGTTCATATGGAACAACCTCCTGGGTATATTGATCCTCTATTTCCCACTCATGTTTGTCTATTAAAGAAAGCCCTCTATGGTTTAAAGCAAGCTCCTTGTGCTTGGTTTCAGCGTTTTAGCTCATTTCTTCTCACACTTGGGTTTTCTTGCAGTCGCGCTGACACGTCTCTTTTTGTCTTTCATCAGCAATCTAACATTATCTATTTGCTTCTTTATGTTGATGACATTATTGTTACCGGCAACAACTCATCTCTTATTGACAGCTTTACTCGCAAGCTTCATTCTGAGTTTGCTACCAAAGACTTGGGTTCTCTTAGTTACTTTCTTGGTCTTGAAGCTTCACCCACTCCTGATGGTCTCTTTATTAGTCAGTTAAAATATGCTTGAGATATTCTTACTCGTGCTCAGTTGCTCGATAGCAAACCAGTTCACTCTCCCATGGTTGTTTCTCAACACCTGACTGCGGATGGTTCTCCTTTCTCTGATCCTACTCTCTACAGATCTCTTGTTGGTGCCCTTTAGTACTTGACTATTACGCGTCCAGATATTGCCTATGCTGTCAATTCTGTCAGTCAATTCTTGCATGCCCCTACTGCAGATCACTTTCTTACTGTCAAACGTATTCTTCGCTATGTCAAAGGAACACTCCACTTTGGTCTTACCTTTCGTCCATCCACTGTTCCTAGTACGCTAGTCGCTTATTCGGATGCTGACTGGGCTGGTTGTCCCGATACTCGTCGTTCTACATCCGGCTATTCTATTTATCTTGGTAACAATCTCGTTTCTTGGAGTGCCACAAAGCAACCTACTGTCTCACGCTCCAGCTGTGAATCTGAGCATCGTGCTCTTGCCACAACTGCTGCTGAACTTCTTTGGGTTATGCATCTTTTGCATGACCTCAAGGTCCATATTTCACAGCAGCCCTTACTCTTATGTGACAACAAAAGTGCTATTTTTTTAGCTCTAATCCCGTTCCTCACAAGCGGGCCAAACATGTTGAACTAGTGTTACAGCAAAAAAAAATAAAAATAAAAATAAAAATAAAAAATAAAAATTATTATAAAGAACAAAAAAAATTATTATTATGTAAAAAAAAAATAATAATAATAAATTAATAAATATGTAAATAAAAATAATTATTTCCTCATCTCTCCTAGTCACTTTCCCCAAGAATCTCTCCTCAACCCACCTCATAGTTCCTGCAAGAATGAAACAGAAATGAAAAATGTCAGATTTGAGAAAACAGAAATACCTGCGTCAAATTTATAGGAGATGGGTTTGGAGAGATGATCGAGATTTACATGGGAGAGATTTGAGATTTCTC